GGTGTTCTGGGATTCCCATTTTCACTCAAGGTTAGCCACAATTTGTTGTGGTCCACACAGTCAAATGCCTTTGCATAGTCAATGAAACACAAATAGATATTTCTCTGGTACTCTTTGCTTTCTGCCAAGACCTATCTGACGTTGGCAATGTTTCTAGTGCCACAACCTCTTCTAACCCCAGCTGGTATTTCTGGTAGATCTCTCTCAGTGTACTGTTCCAGTTGTTTCTGGATAATCTTTAGCAGGATTTTGCTAGTTTGTGATACTAGTAATATTGTTGGTAAGGAATTTTGCTGCCAACACAAAGGTACGTAGTTAGAATCCGCAAGCTGCTATATGGGAGAAAAATGAATTATTTACTGTCTCTGGAAACCTTCTGAAGGGTCAGCTATGGGTCCATATGGAAACAGAACGCCAGGTCTTTTCTCCAGCAGAATTGCTGGTGCATTCAAATTCCTCACACTGGAGGTCTTTCTCCTCAATGTGAACAGATCTTAAAAACCACAAAAACAGAAACAAACTTGTTGCTGGAGAGTCAGTTCTGATTCACAGCAACTCCATGTGCCATGGAGGAGCACTGACCCCGAAGATGTTGAATGTAGTCTTTTGGAAGTAGATCACCGAGCCTTCTGTTTGAGGGCAAACAATTTGTACCACATGAGATTATAATGGGAGAAGGATGGGCAGTCTCCTCCTATGTGATTTATAGCCTTTGAAAGCCACTGGAGGGTCAACTGAATCAGTTCCAACTTGATGGCAGTGAGAAGAGGCACTCCTAAGGTCTTTCTGGGTATTGTCCCCCTTCAGACTTCCAGGCTGACTTGACTGTTCCTTCTCTGTAACTCCTCCATGTTTATACTTGTATTGCTGTACTCCCTATACTGTATTATGATTACAGTGTTTGTTTACATAGCTGTCTCTATATGTGGTTAGGTCATTGAGATAAGGAATCCTGTCTTATCTTTGTATGAGTTGGCACCTAGTTCCTTTCTCTTTTTGAAAACGAACATATCTTCTTGAAGTCTCTTTAAAACCACTTCCCTTAGTTAGCAAATCACCTTCTACCTGTATCATCCATCTGGGTCTATCTCAGTAAGCAAATGGCATATCTTCCTAACACTGAAGGATCAGCCTCTCACCAAGTGAGAGTTAGGCATCATTTTGAGGTCATGAGAATCCTTAGTGTATGAACTTGTAAAATAAGACACAAAATGTGGGGCCCTGGAGGACATCATGCTGAGTGACATATCTCAGACACAGAAGGACAAATACTGCATAGCACCACTGTTCTAAAGCAGGTGTGCATAGGGGGAAGGCTTGGGAGGAGAATAGGATGAGAGTGGATAGATAAAAGGCCATTGCATTGGAAAAGATGAAAGAAAGAACTGTCTAAAATGAATATATGATTAGGCATTATACATTCAACAACAGCCAGAATAAGAGATACATCATTGTGAAGAGGACTGAGGTGGCGTTGGGGGTGGGAGGAGGAAAGTAATTGTGCAACAGTGGATGAATATTTTTTAAAAAGTTAACGGGGAGGGGAAGTGAGGGCGAGTGTGTAAAATGTGCAACAGTGAATGAATGAAAATCTAACTTCTCTGCAAAGTTTATTAAAATCACAACTAAAATAAAATTTTACCTTTTTAAAAAAATCCCGTGTTGAGCTCCTCACCAAAGGATGATAACGAGCATTTGGTGATATGCCTTAAGTATTCAGTGTGCTTTAAATATTAAAGATCAATAAAACTGATCAGATGGATTGTGCTGATTTGCTGCTTTGGTTGTTTCTAGAAACTGTACCATTAATGTCTATTTCATATCTGAAAGCATTCTTTTTATCTGTGTCATAGAAGCAGCATGATGATTATATATTTAAGCTAGAAATCATTCTGGTGTATTAGTTACATTTTCTAAGACTGCATTAAGAAGCCCTATGGCCTAATGTGTCACATGCTGGGCTGTAACCGAAAGGTTGGTTATTCAAATCCACCAAGATGGGGAGTTTCCTCCCATACACACGCAGGGCCTTGGAAACCTGATGGCCGGTCGCTGTGAGTTGGAACCACTTTGATGGCAGTGAATTTGGGTCTGAGGACTACTTTACCTCTGAGCTGTTACTTTTCACGGTGAATTGTCTCTCTTATGATAGATCTTACAGTTAATACTCCTTATGTTTTTAAATGCCTCTTCCTTTTAGACAGCAAGCAGGTATCTAATTCTGTAGCAAAACATGTTGGAAGTTGAGAGAGGATATGAGACTTGAAGTACTCACAATGTTTGATTATAACAGAGTCATTGATACGTGGCTTTGACTATTAGGGAGGACGCCTGGATGTGTGCTATGGAGCAGTTCTGGAGCACACTGTCAGCCCGAGGTAGGAATAATGATGAAGACTTTTGTGGCATCAATCCAAACAAAATGCTACAAATGATGATATTTTGTCACATGTGTCCATGCTGAAGTAATGACATTTTTAAAAATTTACTGTTGTCATTTTCCCCCTAAAAATAAAAAAAAAAAAATAGGGATGTATCTTCAACTCTGATATTAGCTAGGTATATGTTAAAAAAAAACACGAAGTTATTATTATCTTAATTTAGAAATGTATTACTAGTAATAACAAATTAGAGTAACAATGTGTGTCCTAAGTCCAGGACAACCCGGATGTTTCTGGTGCCCTCAGGTAGTACACTGCAATCCTTGGATGGTTCTTGCATAAGAATTCTCTCCTTATGCTAATTGGAGAGTCGAAAGACCAGAGGCAAAAATGTATATTTAAGACTAAGGGCTAACTAAGTTAACTTTTTAAACTGTGTGTTTACTTTCATCATAATCAAACCAAAACAGTTGGTTCTCATCCGGCACAGCCATTAGCATTGATAGACTTGAAATTTGGAAGCAAGATTGGGCATGTGTCTGTAACAGAAGTTAAGTAAATAACTTAAGAATTGAAGTCTAGCCTTTTCAATTCTGAGTGTCTTATTTAGGGACCTACCACAGAAAGGGAGGGGTGTAGACACTAAGCAGAGATAGTACTTGGGCTTAAAAATAAAGAGATCCAGATCTGTTCCCTGCAAATTACTTTCCATCTTTGATTTTCTAGGCTAAGTGGTAAATCATTATAAAAAGTTTCATGCCCAGAACTGAAATTGCTAATTAGAAATAAAACAGATATAGCTGTCTATGTTTATACATGTGTGTATGTGTTTACAGAGACCAAGAGAGGTGATACATGATAGATCCCTCCCTCTTTAACTGTTCCTCTAAATTCTTTGAGCCTTTATTTTAAGGAATTATGAAACATGCAAAACACTACAACCTGTGGTCTATTAATATTCACCAACATTTGTTAAATGTAATTTGTACAGTAACATTTTACAAGAATGACTAGCATACCATATGTTGTTGTTATTGTTGTTATGTGCCTACAACTCCTATAGGAGTTGCCTACAACCCACCGCAACTCTATGTACAGTAGCTCTGAACCCTTCCCTGTCCTGAGCCAGTCTCACTAATTCCGACACACCAACCTCCATCACCCCAGTCACTGAATCAATCCATCTCATCCTCTCCTGCGCTGTCCTTCCACTCTTCCAATCATGATGTGTCCAGAGTATGTGAGACGGAGCCTCAAAATTCTAGCCTCCAAGGAGACACTTGTTTCATCCTCTCCAAGACAGACCTATTTGTTTTCTTGGCAGGCCATGGTATGTTCAAGACTCTTCTCCAGCACCACAATTCAAAGACGTCTATTCTTCTTCTTTGTCCTTAATCATTGTCCGGCACATATGAGAAGATATTTTCATAGACACATTCTTCTGAAAATTTCCTCATTTAATTTGGAAATGAAGAAAGAGATTTCCCAGAGGAAATACTTAGCACAAGTCACATGGTGTCAAAGGTTCACACCTTTTGTACCTGAACCTTTTGAAGGGACGACTGAAAGAACAGCTGACTAGAAGGCAGAATGGTGCATTACTTCTGATAAGTCTGTTGTTGTTGTTGTTGTTGTTGTTGTTGATTGCCGTGGAGTCGAGCATGACTCATAGCGACCCTATGAACAAAAGGCCTGAAGCCCCTCTAAAACTATCATCCTCATAAGTTTAAATATATTAATTTTGAACTCTCACAAGAGGGAGAAATAGACATAGAATCCGGAAAACCAGCAGCTGAAGAAAATTTACCCAGAAATACTGGCCTTCACATTTGCATTTCTGTTAGGTTATAAAAGACGTCATTCTTTAGCAAATGGCTGGGTAGGGTGAAGGGGAAGGGAGGGCACAGTGAGGTTTTGAGAGGACGTAAATAATGGAATTGTACAGTTATAATTAGTGTTATAAAACAAAACATAACAACAACAACAAAACAAAAAGTATATAAGGGTTTGAATGAAAACTGATTTTAAAACCCAAAAAACAATAGGTATCAAAAAATTTTTTATAAAAGAACGTCACTCCAGTTAGGATATGGGTATAAAATATGAGTTCATTGTGTTATGATTCTAGTAGATTCATACATTTGCTTCAACATTTTCTTTTTAGTATTTAACAGATCCTTTTTTTTTTCTCCTTAAAAGCATATAAGCTAAACCTGAGGGAAGACAGTGTCCATTCAGCAGATTACAGGAAATGCTCTTCTTGGTCATCTACAGCAAACTCCAGGCCCTTGCTATCCAGTACTTATTATAAAGAGAAATTAATTCTGTGACAAAATGCTTATTTTCATGTGGTTCTGAAACTCAAAAGTAAAACCCACCAAATTGCAGCCTATTGCACTGTTTTTCTAAACCTCGCTTCTCCTGGTGCTACATGGGCCTGCTGGTCTTGTGGCTTTGGGAGAGCACTCATCTCTTGTTGAAGTTACTTAAGCTTGAAGTATTGATTTCTGCACCACCCCCCTCATTTCCTTTAGGTCCCTCTGTGCTTATCAGGAATGATAACTGGCTCTTTAGTCGAGTTGCTAATTATTAATGTAACCTAAGTGTCTTTTCTTGCAGCCCTCCTCGTCCCCTGACAAATATGAATGACACCGTGGTTAGCCACATGTCCTCTGGAGTGCCCACCCCCACCAAGAGGTAAGTACGTCTGTGCCTCTGTCGCTGCTCAGAGCTGGGCACAGGCCACACTGCTGCTTTGCCACGGTCCCCTCAGAACTGAGGCCTGAGAGCAGAGCCTCCACAGGGCAGAAACGACTGGCTTGTTTTCTCCTCTTTTGATTGTCTTATGATACCATTTTCTGTTTTTTATCTTCCTTTTTTTTTGCCCCTACTGACTCGTAAGTGTAGTATTTGAAGGAGGTTGCTTTTGAGTAGTGCCTGAGGTGGAAACTGCATTGGTGACAGCAGTGAACACAGTGCCAAAGCAGATTAGGCACGTTTGAGGCTTTAAAAAAAAAATAAAATAAATCAGTATTTTGACACTCATGAGTTTTAGCAGTTTTGCATTTGAGACTTTGAGTGTCAAAGATCATTACTGCTTTCTGATTAGACTATATAAGTTGAATTAATCCCTTATAAAATATTCTCCAGAAATCATTCTGGATACAATTATAAACATTTACTTTGAAAAGCTGAAGTGTGTCTTTTTTTCTGTCTCTCGCTCATTTAAGCATGGAGTTTGCTTTAGGGTCTTTTCAAGGAATTAAAAATATGTGTTCCTTTCTCCTTTTTACTTAATTTGCCCTTCTGCAAAACTCTCTTAGGCAAGACTTAAAAAGGACTCTATAAAATGGCTTACTTTCTGTTTGATTAAGCTGTTTCAGTACAAGAGCAAGGCAGAAACTCCCTGCAGGGCACAACCACCCTAGCAGTCATCACTCAAAGGGGGGGAGGAACAACCCACCCCCGCCCCCACTCCCACCACCCTGCAAAGTCCTTCCTGAAGAACACTGCTTGGTGTACTGATTACTTTGGACTAATTCAGCTGTACAATGTTGCCGGCATAATAGCTTTTTGACTACATAGATACATGTTGTTATGTACCATCAGGTTGCATCCAACTTATAGCAGACCCTCACCGGGTTTTACTACAGAAGCAGGAAATTGCTTGAGAGGAGATTGCCCATCTTTCTCCTGTTGAGCAGCTGGTGGATTCTAAATGTATGCCTTTGGATTGGCAACACAGCTCCTTACCACTTGGCCACCTGATCTCCCTGTGTGTGTGTGTGTGTATATATATATATGTGTGTGTGTGTGTGTGTAATATGTAATACTTCAGGCCAACAATGTTTTGCTCCCAGTTTTGTTAAAATTGCTAGAACAAACTTGCTCCCAGTTGCTAAAACTACTGGAGCAAACTTATAAACAGATTGGGGAAGGGGGCTGTGCGGGGACAGGTGGGAAGGCGGGGCAGGGGGAGATGAAGGAATGGAAAAGAACCTAGTTCAGACCTTAAAAGACTGGCTAATGGTAGACATAGATCAGTGGTAATTGATTTTTATGAAACACAGTGTATATAAACTGATTGTATGAAACACAGTGTGAATGAAGGAATGTGTGAAGCACAGTGTACTTGAATGAAACACAATGTATATGAATATTGTCTGCAGACCAATATAATTTCTTTTTTTAGTAATGAAAAAAAAAACATCCAAAACATTTCCAGGACCATATCAGACCCAATAAATCACAATTGCCAAGGGGAAGATTCTGAGAAGCTGTGTTTTTAACAAATGTTCCAGATGGTTCTTAGCACCACACAGGTTTAGAAGGAAGCTAAGGAATAAACTGGTAAGGCTGTTCTGGAAGTAGATTTAGGGCCTTGACAAATTGGGGCAGCCTAATAGTACAGCTTCATCCGCATGAGGACCCAAGACCCTGCACAGGGAAGTGTGGGCTGCAGCTTGAATGGGCCATTCTTGTTGAGGGAAAACCCAGGTGCCTCTTTGGGGCAGAATTGTGTGGTAAAGTATGGAGGAAAAATATAGTCTTTTGAGGCAGACAGTCTTGAATTTGAATCCTGGCCTTGTCTTGACCTTGAGTAAGTTTTTTATATATATAAAATAAACAGAACCCCCTAGAATGGAAATAATGTGAATGCTCACACATTGGCAAAAATGTAACTGAGGTCGTTGAGCAATTTGTGTAGAAATTGTTGAAACCTTAAACTGCTGTGTAAACATTCACAAAAGCACAATATTATTTTTTTAAAAAGTAAAACTGTTGTTATTGTTAAGTGCCATCAAGTCAGTTACAACTCATAGAGACCCTGTACTCACAGCAACCCTGTGAACAGCAGATCTGAATCTTGTCCCTCCTCACAATATGGTAGAGCCCGTGGTTACCATCACTGTATCAGTTCAACTTGTAGATGGTCTTCCCTGACTTTCCACCCTTCCCCAAAGTATGGAAGATGGAGTTTCACCGTCCTTGCATCCAAGCAGCACCCTACTTGTACTTCCTCCAAGATAGATTTGTTCTTTTGGCCATCTATGGGATATTCAGCTCTCTTCTCCAAGATCACAACTCAAAGACTTCAAAATAAGTTCTTCAGTCTTCTTTATTAATTGTCCAACTTTCAGATGCATAAGAAGTGGTTGAAAAATACCATGGCTTGGATCAGGTCCACTTTAGTCTTTAAACTGACATTCCCTGGTGCAACCACTATGGAAGGCTGTATGGCATTTTCTCAAAAAGTTGCAAATAGAAATACCATTTGACCCAGCAATTCCACTACTGGGAATATACCCTAAAGACACCATAACCGCCACCCAAGCAGATATATGCACACCCATGTTTATTGTGGCTTTGTTCACAATAGCAACGGGATGGAAACAAACCCAAGTGCCCATCAACAAATGAATGGATAAAGAAGCTGTGGTATAGTCACACAATGCAATGAAAAACAAGGAACTCATGAATATTATACAAAATGGGTGACCCTGGAGGACATTTTGCTAAGTGAATATCTCAGTCACAAAAAGACAAATACTGCATAGTGCCACTGTTGTAAAACAGAACTGACATCGGGGTTGAGGAAAGACTGAGAAAGAGGGGATAAATAATGTACGCTGCATTGAAACAGATGAGGGAGAGAACTGTTTAAAAGGGATATGTGATTAGGTATTATTGTCATGACAGGAGTCCAGAATGAAGGCTGCACAGTGGAGTGGACTTGGGGGAGGGACTGTATAACAATGAAATAATTTTACTTTTCAAAGAGAAGAGCTAATTGGGGGCGAGGGGCTGGACAGGGAGAAAAGTGCAACAATGAATGAATGGAAATCCAAAGTCTCTGTAAACTTTCGTTAAAATTAATAAAACAGAACCCCAAAACTGACATCCTTGCTTTTTAACACTTTGGAGAGGTTCTTAGAGATGGCAGATTTTCCCAGTGCAAAACATCTTTTAATTTCCTGACTCCTGTTCCCATGTAAAACTGTTACCATATAAAGCTATTACCAAGTGTAACTGCCCCTCCACAAATAGTACTTACTTTTTGGGATTTATGTAAGGATTTAATATGTTGGGGGGATTATCATTTAAGATATAACAAGTACAAGAGGGCAGGCAGTTGAGGAAAAGACAGGATAATTTAAGAATAATATCCTCTCAAAGAAGAACAGAAATCTTTGGGAAGAATATAAAGCAATTGTTTCTCTCTCACTTACCTAGATATTTTAGAGACCTCTACTTCCCTGAGCTCTTCATTTTCTGATGTTTAAACTCATGCAGCATTCAGTCCCAGTACTAAAAACTGACATATCAGCTCAGGGATTTTCCCATTTCAAATCCAGAAATACTAAATGAATTATCAAAACAAGTTCATGCTTAGACGTTTTGTGTTAATTGTAGGAACCCCATCTACTAATTAGGAACTTCATGACCCGTAGCCTCCTGTTTGCTGGTCATCACTCTCTGCTGGGCACCCAGGGGCCCTAAGCTTCTGGTGGCAAAGATCATAAACTACACGTGCTCCATTCAGTGGCCACATCTGAGTGTAGCTACTGGAGGCTATTAGTGAGAGATGTCTCTTTGGATAGTGTTTATTGCTGTAGGAGTTTGGAAGAAATTACTCCGGAGCAGTAATAGCCACAGCCGCCTTTCAGAAGGACTCACTCCTGGGCTTGATATTGCTGTGTTAAGCTCCAGCCTTAATCGGGAGTGGCCACCTGCAGTTGCCAGTCGCACATAGCACTTTGCCATTTTTAAAAGCTTCCTCACTTACGTAGTTTAGCTTGAGTTGATGTTTTGTTTTCAGTGCAGCATTTCAAACACTACCTTTTTCTAGCTGCAATTAGCCAGTCTTAGAGGTGGTTATCACAGACACTGTAGGAACTGTTGCTTGTTTAGAAAGGGGGCTTGAAAGACAATATACAGTAAAAGTTTCACGAGACATTGTAATCAGTGTCACTCATCAATTGTTTCAATGACACTTAGCAATCGTGGTTAATGTTATAAAACAAAATATGTATGATTGAAAACCATTATAATTTGTATCATTATGAATTATGGATTGTATCAGTAACACTTATTAATTGTCGTTAATGTTCTGAAGCAAAATGTGTATGATTGACAGAAAGAAAACCATTATGATTTATAAACTTTGACTCACATTTTTTAAATGAAAAAAAGAAAAAGATAATTTGAGCTTTGCAACTAACCAAAAGGCATGGTTGCTTGAGTAGAGGCCGCATGGGAATAAAATGCTGCATCCTAACGTGTTCGATTCCTTTGAGTTGTGATATTGGTGAAGAGGACTGACTGTGCCTTGGACCGCTGAGAGAACGAGCAGTTCTGTCTTGAAGGAAGTACAACCAGAGGGCTCCATATGAGCAAGAATGATGCACCTTCCTCTCACTTAGACCTTGATATTTTCCAGAAGAACCAATACTTAGAGAGAGATTGCTTTCTGAGAAAGGCCAGATAAAGAGAAGACGACCCTCAGTTAGGAGGAGTTGACGCTCTGACTGCTGCAGTGGGCATGAGCATGACAGAGTTCATGAGGATGGTGCAGGATAGGACATGGTTCAGACCGCTTCATAGGGTCACTGGGAGTCATGGTTGACTGGACGGCACCTCACAACAACAACGTCCTAACATGTTGTCATCAGGAGCCTCAAGTCAGCTATGACTCG